AGAAAATGCCATTATTTTAGAGAAATTATGGAAACGTTTGAGATGACATAATGTTGAGGTTTTGCTTTTAAATATAACAGAAAAAAAATAACAAAAAATGAACAGATATAACAAGTGTGGAAACTAGTGAATTGAGATGATGAATATATAGGGTTTACTACATCAGTATATGATTTTAAAAAAACTTTGATAATAAAAGCTTTTAAAAAATCACCATGTAAATAACCTATTTAAAAAAAAGCATTCACAAGTCATTTAAAGTAAGTTTTAATATATTAAGTTTTAGAAAATACTTTAAAAATGAGTTTGCTTGTTAATTTTATGCATCATAAACACACAGAAAAGAAAACCAAAGTAAATTCAATTTAACAGTTAAACTGAACATCTATCAGTGGAACTGTATCAAGGCAGAGTTACAAGGAATGAATAAAGAAAAGCATTAAAATACTGGGTCAACAGGTATGAAGAATGTTTTTATGAGAACATTAATAACCATGCTAAAAAGCTAAAATAAAGCATCTAAAATATTACATACTTTCTTTATAGCAGTAATACTCAACTCCCACTACAGAGTAAAACCATCTTGGAATCTTAAACAATTAGAAATGCACGGAACCCCACTCAGTGATTTTCAGTCTAGGGTAGGGCCTGGTGACTCTGATGTGCAGGAAAACTCTGAGAAGCACAGATCTATAAGGATTACAGGTTTACCTAGATGGTTGTTACATCTATTCTCAATAATCAATTATTTTAATATCAAAATCTCTTACACAAAGTTTGCTTTTCTTTTAAAACTGTATGATGAGAATGACTGCTACACAGAAGGCTCTGAAGTGCTCTTGGAACGTATTAACTGCATTAATTTTTAAAATGTAGATAGCATGAGCATGAAAAATTACTTTTAGCAATTTCCTAAAAGTGATCCACCCCTTAATAAATTAACTACACTTCTTAAACATGATAAAATGATCATTATATTGACATCTCAATTTATAAACTCAAGGATTTTTGATCACCTTGTTATTTGATGTAGAATATGAATAACTAATAGTCTGCAGGTTTGTGATTATGTATTTAAACATCAGATTTCTAACTAATTACAAAGCACTCATCTCCATTCTTAAATAAACTGCATTTTTGAAGACACAGTGATTCCTAACTCTGAAGAAGCAGAGAAGCCACGTATAAATGCTAGTTTTAAAAACTTACTGTGTAAAATAAACCAATTAAAATTTGTAATATTGATTCCAAAATGACTGAACTTAGTCAACTGCTTAGATATAAAAACCACACAAAATAAAGTGAATCCCCCTAAATATTTAGCAGAAAAGAATTATCACCTAGTTGTGTTTCCCTGGTGGCTCAGATGGTAAAGCGTCTGCCTACAATGTGGGAGACCCAGGTTCGATCCCTGGGTTGGGAAGATTCCCCTGGGGAAGGAAATGGCAAACCACTCCAGCACTCTAGCCTGGAAAATCCCACGGACGGAGGAGCCTGGTGGGCTCTAGTCCACGGGGTCGCAAGAATTAGATACGACTGAGCGACTTCACTCTCTTTTCTTTCTATCTGTGGTCTTACAGAATTTCTGAAATACAGGGATACCTATAAATTATTTCACTTTCAACAAGTACTGCTTAAGAAAGACTCAAGCTGAAAATGGATCCTATCAATATTAGTTTGTTGTAATTTGAAGTCACCTGACTGATTAGATATCAATGGAAGCAAATAAACAGAGAAAAAAATTTACTTACCATTCCAGAAGGTATGACCTTACTAGAGCAATACTGCATGTTACTACAAACAGTGTCTGATGACTACTTTAAAAAGTAAAATAGTAAGTGATTCTTCATAAGATTATACTATCCACCAAAGGTGAGTGAAGGGGGTAGGGTGTTATCTTAATGTCCTATAAATGGAAATGCATGGATTATGATGAATTATTTTAAAACATTTTTTTCCATAACTGGCCAATCTACAGTAACAGTATGAAGTTGAATGCTTAGCTCATAAAATATGAGCAAAATATCCTTAATATACATTTAGCATGTGTTGTATATTCCAAAAGAATCCACACAACCAATTCAGATTTGTAAAATATCTCATGAGCATTTAGAAATTATAAACTAGTTCATAAAATGATAAAAGTTAAAATAATCTGACATCCTTATCATATGTTAATACCCTAGCAAATAAAAGTATTAATACTCAATGTTGGAACAGGAAAAAGTAGAACAGCCAGCCTCATATACCATGTATGTTAAATTAATTATCACCATTCTGGAAAGAAATCTGAACTAAGAATCACAAGGCTTTAACATTTCTTTGACACAACGATTCTAGTTCTAGAATCTAGTCTAAGTAAGGGACAAAAATGTTACATACAGGTATTGGTGGTCACAATGCCACTTACATTAATGAAAAGTCTGAAGGGAAACTAAACGTCCAACATATATCCAAAAGTATTATATATCCATTTGCAGGCTATCTTGCTATTGTAATTACCATTTTTCAAAAAAAAAAAAAACAATAAAATGAAACACAAAATAGCAAATAATGTGATTTTAATTTTTTACAAGTGTAATTTACATAGAAAATAAGAAAAAAAATATCAAAATATAGGTAGTTATCTCTTATGAATTATAAATAAATTCCTTTATTTGATTTTTAACATTCATAACTCACCTTTCAAAAACTACTTGAGGATATTTAAAATTTAAAAAATCCCAGTTAAAACCATTAAAACATGTAAACAATGAAGTCATTTAGTCAAGGAAGATGAATTCACATATTTTCACCTCAAAATACTTTTCTACATTGACACTATATGGTAGTTTAAGTGTGCAAATAGCAAGTTTAAAAAATATGTATACCATTATTACAAAATACTTTATTGCTAAAAAATGCTAACTATCATCTGAAAATGCTGGGCTGCCACAAACCTTCAATCTGTAAAAGAACACAGTATCTGTGAAGCACATTGAAACAAGGTATGCCAGAATATTACACTGAAATCTTCAAGACAAAGCAGCAAGAAGACACCAAATTTATTTACTAAAAACTGAGCAACTTTTACTCTTTTAATGTAAAAACGTAAAACACTTGAGAAATGATAAAAGCACTGAATAAAACAAAAGTTAGCTATGCCAGGACTGTATAATCTTTTATGAGAAAGAGTTATTATTACTTTAAAAAAGAATTCCATCAAGGCCATTACAAGAAAAATGATGATAAACTCCATAGACAAATCCATGACTCCACCCAGAATCCAAAAAACACACAAATTCATCAACTACCCCCACAATGGGCAAATATATACAGCTCTTAGGGTCCAAGGAGTGATTATGAGTCTAAGGAAGTCCTATGTTTGAAACTAGCTGAAATTTCTCGGTCTTTTACCATTGTTTCTTTAATGAATTGAATGTAAAATTTTAAACTTCATAGAAATGACTATAAAATCTTGATATCATCTTCAACTTTGGTTATTTTAAGAATTAAATAATGTATCCGCCAAGTACCTTGCAGAACCCCTGGGATCTAGAAGCTATTCAATAAATGTTGATTTTTGTTTTTTCTGTAAGTTCTATCAGCAAAAAACTAAGAATTCACAGTAACAATTACAAGCAAAGGCCATGTATCACTCATTCTTAACTTAAAAAAAATGGTACACCATAAAATAGTTAATATTATTTACTTACAAGCCAAGTGGAAGAAATAAAGCTTTAAACTAAGCCCACATAGTGATGGAGATTCTCTCAGGAAAGAACGTTATCAACCTAAAGAATTCATTATGATAAATTTATCATGATAAACTTATTATGATAAACTGCTATAACTTCTGCAAGTTGTATTAGACAATCAGAATAAGGGGTCAGTTATGTCTAAAATCATCAGAATTAATTTCACATATCAAATGCTTCTCTTGTGCATTAGTGTCTCTGTTCATAGATGATGTATCACTTATATAACATTTATAAATGGATAACATGTTACATATTCACACTAAATAGGTATTTCCAAAAATTATTTTATTTTAATACTTTTTCTTTTTAAATTGATGAATATAAGCTCAACTTATGTTCATCAAACTCCGGGAGACAGTGGAGGACAGACGAGCCTGGCATGCTACAGTCCATGGGGACACAAAGAGTTGGACAATACTTAGCAACTGAATAATAGCAATAAGCTAAACTATAAGAACAAGTTTGTGATTCATCAATCTTAGGTTCCATACATCCAGAAACATTCATTTAATGATAATCTTACAAACTTCAGAAACCAAGAATTTCCTGAATACATCAAAAGGGAACTAAAATTTCATCTGAAGTTATAAATCACTTATTTTACTTACAAAATAACATTTTCTGTTATTTTTCTTCATCTTGACTCTGTCAACTATTAGTTGCAAATATCTGTGTTTTTTTATTAGGTGGGTCTAATCCATTGCAGAATGAGGTGAAATATAATAACTAAGACAAAATGCAAATAAGTACCAAAATAAATTTTATATAAAATTCTTCCTAGTTAAATCTGTGTTTTAAGACTACAATATGCTTTGAAAAATCCATACACCTGCTCCCAAGCGTATTTATATGCTGCCCCTGTTAACTTTCTGTTTTTTTGTTCAGGGCTAAACTGAAACAGACTGGCTCACCAGTCTATCTGAAACAATTAAGACTGAATATGCACAATGGCCTCTAGATAGCATGACTTTAAAGTGTAAATGTTTTCTTAAGAACTCAACAGTATTTTTTCATTAAAGCTTTTCCTCTTCTATTTTGGGAGAGAAGATGAGATAGGAGAAAGGAATGCTGACACAACTTTAATTATACTTATGAATTTAGGTTTTTCTTCCAACAGTATTCATATACATTCTTACCTGAAGGGGGAAAAATATCTAACATAATTTCTTAAATTTCAAAATGGGAGATTCATTATACTTACTGGAGTTTAACAGGCACTTGCCCATTTGGCAGAAGTGGTACAGACAATAAAAATCATACCTAAGAGAGAAGTCTCCTTGGCAAACGCTGCAGCTATAGCTGGGTCCAATGCAGGTTGTCCATCCCCAGATGGAAGATCAGGTCGAGTATAATCCCTACTTTTATCATTGTTGTATTTTACATTCAAATTCACAAGTTTGGAAAAATCAATCCTTAGGGTACAGCAAGCATTATAAATATTCTGACCATCTAGGGCCTGTAAAAGTGAATAAAGTTTATCAGCAATTTTAAGAGATAAAAATTAGAAAAAGTACGACTCTGACAAAAAATTCAACAATGAAAAGCTGCACATAATAAAAGTTGCCAGAAAAGTGATCAAATTCCATACTCTTTTCTTTGCTACACTAGCTGTATGTATATTGTTTTCCACAAATACTACTGTCTTTAAATAGAAAGTGCTACTTAAATATAAACAGTTAAATATACGTGCTAATATACTTTTAACTTCAAAAACCTGCAAATATTTTACTTAAAAAAAAACAAAGTTCACAAATATAGGTCATCCTGCCAAAGTAGTACTATAATATCAATAGTTTGCACAATAGTTCAAAGTTAATTTTATTACACACATATTTTTTGCCAGATGGTAATACTTATGCTCTAGAGTTGAGTTGAAAGACTACACTCAATTAGGTCACCTTCAACAAGTTATTCAATCTTTTCTAATCTCAGAATCTGGAAGACAGATGACAATGGCTGCCATGCTTCCTTCCAGGATTATTGTAAGGATTAGATAAAAGACCACATGTGTGCAAGTGTATCATGAATTATAGAGCATAGAAAAAAAATATAAAGCATAGAAAAAAACATGCTGCTGTTATGTTTTTTTCTGATCTTATATAATCGCCATTTATACTCCAGCTAGACAGACACCTGAAATAAACTAGAGAACAGGGGAATATATTGTTGATTTTTTATTAGAAGAATAAACATTTTCTATATAAAGTAACAGTTCAAAAATGAAGGACATGTTTAGCTCTAATTCACTTCAAAAATAAAACAACAATTCTTCTGGTAACAATACATAAAGAACAAGCCTGATACCTATGTAGACCAAGATCTACTAGGTATGTAAATACAGAACTGTATTAAGAGTAGACAAACATATTTTTCACACTTGGTATTTGAAAGAAGAATTTTTATATTACTTCAGTATGACTATTTTAATGACTATATTACTGGAAGAGGAACGTAACTGAAACAGACTTAAAAATAGTCAAGAGTGTTCTGTTATGGAAAAAGGAAATCTCAATAGCTGCTTATGTATATAAAGTTTATATTTAAAATATTATATTTAAAATATTCCCACTCTGTGAAAAGGGGAAAATCCTTTAATATACAAAATTAAGATTTAAGTGACTATATTACCAAGCTAAAAGCTAACTTAAAAATACAATTCAACATCAGTTTACCCATTTCAATATTCACATTAAAGGACTACATACATATCACGATTTGAATTCTATTTGAATTAGGGAAAGCACCTATCATCACATGAGAATGGGAAGTATCAACTCTCTCAGACAGAGTAATATAAGTATTAATTCAATACTTCATAAGTAATTCTTATTCAATACTTAATAAGTAATTAATTCAACACTCTGCCTGAAAAGCAAACAAAGCACTGAAAATAGGTCTTCATTTACTCATTCCTATAGGAGAATTGGCGAGCCAGGTAATAGAATCTATGTCTCTACCTTATATAAACATGAATGTCAAAATTCACTCTTAGGTGACTATTTCAATAATATACAAAAAATCTGATATACTGTAAGAAAAGACCTGGCTTTGGATCACAGTACCTCTATTAACACACGAAGTAACATACTGATACAAAATGACTAACTTCAAAACAAGCAGAGGTTCTTTGGGGCCAAGTTCTATCAAAGAGGTTGACTGCCAAATATCTACAATGACATGCTAACTGTTTGAAAGCTGTCTAGAAAACGTTAACCAAAAAAAACACACTTTATGTAGGTATTATACACAGGTACACCTAAGATACACACAAGGTATACACACAAAGCATACACAAAAAACTGTACCTAAGATACAAGAGCTAGAGAAATCAGGAAACAATATGTATATTAGCAACAGGGAAGAGGAAAAAGAGCTGAGGATACATGATAACAGAAATCCAGGCATTTTCAATAGCTGGCTGAGGTAAAATGACTACAAGTGAAGTAAGAAGAAAAATCAAATTAAACTATATATGCAAGCTCACTTCATTGTTATTTGCCAACTTCCAGGAAATAACAGTAGCACACAAGTCAGTCAGTGTTCAGCAATCAAGATTGTAGTGATCTTGCTGGAGCAAAGATTTCTGACAGTAAAAGCCCAAGTTAATTTGCAAAAAAGCCTCTCAAGTGTATCTATGCAAAGGGAAAGTTTGGAGAGTACATGAAAACAATCAGGAAAAAATATCTTCATAAATATAATATTTATGTCAAAAACACAATAAACTCAGTAAAGATGTTAAATACAGAATGCATAATTAACAACACAATGAAACACTGCATATGGATTTAAAATAGGAAAAGCCACTAATAAAACTTAAAGAAATATACTCTCCTGGAAGGAATCATTAATGATAGGATTCCCAAAAGATACAGTGTCACTGTGCAGTGTCAACTGCACACATTCCTAATAAAAGTAGATAGTACCCCTAAAAGCTGTGTTACAATTTTCTACCAAGTGTGTTACAATTTCAGGGTTGTATAAATAAAATAATTTTTAAAGATTCAGGTGAAAAGGAGTCTACTTCTATACCTTGAGGGCTTCCCTGGTGGCTCAGAGGTTAAAGCGTCTGCCTGCAATGCAGGAGACCCAGGATCAATCCCTGGGTCGGGAAGATCCCCTGGAGAAGGAAATGGCAAGCCACTCCAGTATTCTTGCCTAGAGAATCCCATGGAGGGAGGAGCCTGGTAGGCTACAGTCCATGGGGTCACAAAGAGTCGGACACGACTGAGCGACTTCATTTTCTATACTGTGAAAATACAGAAACTGAACTAGAAAGCCACAGTTAAGTGAGTGATATTTTTGTTTGCCAGTAATACACTGAAAAAGATTTCTGAAAAAGGCATTAGGGCATTTTCATTAATAAGTGCAAGGATCATTTAAAATAATTTATTTCTTATTTGATAATTATTACTTTTACAATGATTGGTGATTACTGGTGGTGACTACCACCCTAAATGCCAACCTCAATATACATAACATTAGCTTTTTGGTTGACTTAAGAGGGTTTTTTTAAATTAACTAATTGGAGGCTAATTACTTTACAATATTATAATGTTTTTTGCCATACATAGACATGAATTAGCCATGGGTGTACATGTGTCCCCCCCGACTTCAGAGGTTTTTAGAGACTGGATTGCAATATACATGAACCTCAGAACAAATTCAGGAGATGGTTACATTTTTCCCCTCCAACCCTCACTAATAAAACTCCATTTTTAAGATGTTTTTTTCCTGAGTTACTATTCTCTTATAAAATAAAACGCTGGGGGAAAGAATTCCAATTAACTGAAAGTAACTGCCAAAGATCGTAACTAATACATGGCAAGAGTCTGGTTGGCAATGTCACTCACGCTGCCTTTACATGGCAGTGATTCCCAGGGCTTTTAAAACAAAACAGAGCAGTGGGCTCCCAACCCCAAAGATTATAAGTGTTAGCTCAGAGAAGCCTAAGAGTCCCATTTTTATAAGCAATGTATATGATAAGAAGGTTCTGAACCATATTTTAAAAGAACACTCTAAGTTCTCTTTCCCTCCAAACCTAAAGATACACTATGCTTGCTAAATGAATTCCCAAGGCACAGGTGACATTTTTTCATTCTCTCAATCATCTGAACAACTATCACTATAGAAGTAGAGAAGCAGGCTTGAAATTCTCTTCCCAAGCTATTATTCCTTACCTGTAAATTTTACATGATTTCTACTGTTTTAACAAGCATAAAAATATAGCAACTGAATTACAAAGTTTAGGTCTAACTCATTTTATTATACACTGAGATGTACATGGATGGTTGAAAGGCAGGAAGAGATCTACAGCACACCAGATGCCGGGTAAGTTGTGACATGTTGAAAAAAATGCCCTCATACCTATAATGTGCCATACACTGTGCTAAGTTCTAAGAATACAACAGAGAACAAAGCAGACATGACAACCACTGTTATACAGCTTAGAGTCCAGCAGATAACACAGACACTTTTTTATTTAGTTGCTCAGTCATGCCCAACTCTTTTGCGACCCCATGGACTATAGCCTACCAGGCTCTTCTGTCCATGGGATTTCCCAGGCAAGAATACTGGAGCAGGCTGCCATTTCCTTCTCCAGAATTCAGACACTTAATAAGTAATTATAAATTTGATCTGTGGTGGTGAGAACTAAGGAAAGAAGGGATCAAATCTAGTTGAAAGCTTATAGAAGACCTCTCTGGAGAAGAAACTTCTAAACTGAAACTTGAAAGAAGGAAATGAGGAGTTGGTCATAAAGAGGTGAAGAGAAAAGTATTTTAGTACACAGAATATAGCAAGTTGTAAGCCCATGAGATCAGAGAATATACAGCATACCCAAGAATTAAAGAAGTCCAATACACATTAGGAGCAGACAAATACTGTTGATTCCATTTAAGAGATACCTAAAATACTCAAATTCAGTCAGAAAGTACAATGGCAGATGCCGGGGGACTGGGGAGGTAGTGTTTAATGGAGACAGAGTTCAGTTTAGGGAGGTGCAAAATTCAGGACATGGATGACGGTGAAAGTTGCACACCAATGAATGTGCTGAGTGCCACTCAACTGTACAGTTAAATATTGTTAAAATAGTATTTTTTATATTATGTAACTTTTACTACAATAAAAAAACATTAAAAAAAAAAAAAAGCAATATGGTTACAGAGGTATATGATGAGACTGGAGAGACAAGAGTTAGAGTTTTTGTAAGCTATGTTAAAGAAAGAGTATTTTTATACCAAGGACAAAAATCAGTCATTGAAGGGTACAGAGAAGGAAGAAATATGACTTTAAGTTGAAATCATTCTTAAAACTCACAGTGGTGGATTTAGACTAGAAGGCCAATGAGGCACAGATTTAAGAGATGGCTTGATGGCTTAGATCAGTGCTACTCAAACTGTGGTTCATGGACTAGCAGCCCAGTTCACCTTGCTTGACGAGAAGTATCTATCAGAATTCATGATCAATCCTGCACGAAACAAACCACAGCTAAAAGTCAGCTAGTCTGTACGTTGGCACAAGCTTCTTACAGCGCTGGAGACTAGCGCTCTGAAAAACACTAGCTTAGACTATGGTGACGACAAGACGAGTTGGAGACAAAAGGATAGCCTGAACAGAAATTTAGGATCTAAAATCAGTTAAGATTTGGTGATAGGCTGAAAGGAGGAAGAATAAAAGAAGATAAAAGATAAAAGAAGATCCAGTGCTTCCTGTCTTGTTTCTTAGATTGACCTGTGACCTGATCAATACCTAGAAACTGATACATGAAATACAGATTTTAGTATTTTTGCTGGTAGTGGTGGGGGTGACAGGAGTTTAACTGAACACACTAAGTTTGAAGGTGCTCCACAGTCCTAGCCTGGGTCTCTCCAATGTGTGACCTAGAAATAAAGGGATGTGAGTACTGTCAGAATCACAAAGTGTAGCTAAACTGTGTATAACAGGTGAGGTCCCCCTAGAAGAAAGGGAGGGATATAACAAAGAATGAACAGAGAGGTGGGATATATCTAGGTGAGAAGTGTTAAAGACCAGGAGAAAAGAGGATTTTAAAAACGGGAAAGACAGATTCAGTGTCAAAGGTTACCTAGAGGTTAGGTAAGATAAGGACTGAACAATTCTGTTGTTGAGATTTAGCTACTCCAGTGGCCCCTGGAGTAGAATTTTTTGGGGAGAATTTTTTGTGTATATGGGAGCTGAAACCAAATTACAGTAAGTCGAGAAATAAGAAGGGAATAAGTATAATAAGCAAACAAAGACAACTTATTTAAGAAGTCTGGTAATAAATGAAAAGAAAGGGAGATAAGGTGTTAGATGGACAAATAAATGGTATATGGAGTTAAGGGTAATAAATTCATTAAAAAAAAATGAGAGACATTTAACCACGCTTAAAACACTGGTGAGAAGTAACTAACATGGAGAAAAATGTAAGAGAAAGGAGAAATAAAAGTACAGAGACTCCTAGGAGGCAGAAGAGGATGGTATCTGGTGCTTACTGGTCTTAGAAATATCTATGCCTTATATTTAGGAGAAAGAAATGTATGTGTATAAGTATATTTTGTGAGAAAAGCTGATAAGAGTTTCTATCTGATAGTTTCTATTTTTTTCTGAGAAGGAGTAGGTAAGGTCATAAGGCAACTCGATGGAAAGACAAATTTCTATCTGATACAAACAACTGTGGAAAACGGGAGAACATGCTGACTGAAGAAACATGGTAAGATTTTGTAAGCAGAGTAGAGGGCCAATTTGTAGTTAATGCTGATGAGTTTAAACTGGTATCAACTGGTTAAATTATGTGATATTCTCTGGCTACACTCAACAGTCCAGATAAAGGAATGAAGAAAAAATACTGGAGTCATCAAAAGTATAGGTTTTAAAAGGAGTCTGGATTACAAGACAATGGGACAAGCAAGATTAGAAGAGATTCTTTTTTTCTTCTCCAATAAATGAAATATAGTTGAGCTCAGATACGAGAATAAAAGCTTAATAAAGTAATTATCTCTCTGCAGATTTTTGTAGAGAAGACCCGAGTGTATATAAACATTCACAAACACCAGCAGTTTAATGCTTATTTTCTGTGCAGAAGATTGGTTAAATGGAAACCTATTAAATACTGAAAAATATATATAAACTACTTTCCCCATTGAATCACAGAGCCCAAATGAGGTACAATTCTAAGTCAAATTCCATTTCACTAAACAGTCTTCCTCTGGATCAGAAGGGGATGACAAAAAGAAAATATTTCACATTAAGAAAAATGTGCACTATATTTAAATTTGTTTGAAGTTGTGAAAAATGCCATCAAGAACATGGCTTCTAGACTATCTGCTACTGATCAAACCTCATACCACAATTATTTTGGTATCTCTTTAAATATAAAGTATCTCCAAAGATGGAGGGCTGAAGCATGTTAGGAAAGATAATTATTTTTGAAAAAATAACTGCTAATTTATTACTGAAAAGGGAAATATGATTAGATCATGCAACCAGGAACCACTGAGTAGAAACAGTGGAGAAGAGTAGACTGAAAAAATGTCTACTTTACAGATGTGTACATTATAAATCATTTACCACTTTGAATCTGAGCATCTAACAGGAAAAATTCCTGTTCAGTTTACAAAACATAGTAGTCAGAAAAAGAATGAGATAATAGCTCTTGGTAAATCATTTCAATTATGCTATTATTACTAGTAAAGTCTTTCTGCTACCTGAAGCTACTTCTGCTCCCCAAATGAGATTCTAAGAATGGAAATGAAACAGTAGTTAAAAATGGCCTGGTTTCAAACAAGCTATCTTGATCTGGAGGAAGCACTGAAGTAATACACCATAATCAGTCTGAAAGTAAAAGAGTGAAAGAGAGAAAAAAGAGGTAAGACAATTTTAAGCGGAGACTGCTGATTTAAAAAAGGTTTAACCACTCCAGTATTCTTGCCTGCAGAATTCCATGGGGAGACAAGCCTGGGGCAGGCTATTATAGTCCATGGGGTTGCACAATCAGACACGACTAAGTGACTAACACTTTACACACACAATAAATATTTAATTTTTTAATAGTGGAATGAAAATAACGATATTATACTACAGCACAAGAAGTTAAAGAGACAAAGGAAGATTTAAATAAGACAGACTGGTATGCAGTTTTCAATGGTAGTAGTCATGACACGGGTAAATTTTACTGCTTTGAATAGTTTCTTACCCTCCATATATAACAACAACAACAAAAAGGTAAGTTGATTGGAATAAAAAGGAGCCCAAGAATGTATTGAAAAAACCTATCTTTTAAAAAATTACTTAAAAAGAATACTGGAAATCAACTGAGAGCTTATCACAGCATTTGAGCCACATGAGTACTGATATATTTCAGCCAAAGTACCTTACAGCTAATTAAGTACTTTGAAACTCCCACTGGAAAATGTAAAATCTTATACAGCTATGCATGTATAATATAATATAATCCTGCTATATCCTCAAGAGCACAAAATATCTGGACCTAAATAAAACAAAAATGCAGAATATAAGCCTATATTATACATAACTACAAATATGACAATTGGTAAATATAAACATTTCTTTTTATCACAAATACTAAGCTTTCTAATACTATCTCTATGGCACTGATCTGTCATCTAAAATGCTATATGGTATTGCTGTTATGTTAGTATTAGTAACTGACATAATAGTAATATTAATAATATATAAATAATTATAATTATAATATTAATGATATTAGTTATACATGTGTGTGTGTGTATATCTGCCACTGAAAATTATTGCTCTCAAAAAAAACCTAGACTTACTAGTTTTGCTTGCTGAGCGTTTACTGGATCGCCATACTGGAGAAGAGCTTGAAACTGGTTATTTTTTGTAAATGTGATTATCTTCAATACAGCACCAAACTTAGAAAATATCTGTTAAAATATTAAAATCAAAACAAATTATAACTGCTGTATTATTATTTCTCCATTTTATAGATAAAATGCAAATTAAATTAAACTTACTTGGTGAAGAACATCAAGCGTTACAGGATAATACATATTGTCAATAATTATTCTGAGCACTGGACTCTGGGCTGGAGTCACTGCGCTCTCACTGACTGTGGTGCCACTAAGAGGAGTGTTTGCTGTCTGGACAGCAGTCACAGCCTGAAGAACTGCTTGAGCACGCTAAAAATCAAAACATAAGCTCTTTAGAAACATTCCCGGTATATTCACTTATACTTTGCTACATGCTACAGTATTAAATCCTTTTCTAGAACACATACGGATTAAATAAAATTTAACACTCATTCAGTAAATATACTTTTAAGCACCTGCCATAAGCCACATATTGCCTGTTTACAATTCAAGTATCATACTAGTATTTACCTCAAAACAGTTACTGAGGGTTTGGGACCAATGCTGAATAAGATAGATAAGCCATGTAATTTATTCTCAAAACAAGAAGATGTGGTCTGACAGATTCAGAAAATGTTTTAAACAGAAACTTTTAGAGAACAATGAAACTTTAACATTATTCATTCCATTAAAAAGGAAGATGGCAAACCTTAAAAGGAAATTACTAGATTATCCAAAAGAACTCCTATAAAGCTTATTATTTCTAATAAATCCTAAAAGAGAAACATTCAGATACAAATTTTTTTTATACTAGTGTAACTTTTGAAACCAAAATTTTTACAACAGAAACTGATGTATACCACAGTACACAGCCATAAAATTCTCAGGAATACTTCAAAATAAAATATAAAGAATCTTCTATCCATGTTATTGTTTCTAATACATCACTAATGGTAAAATGCACTATCCTTTTATGTAGGACTAATAAAATATTGTTAATTGAACCATGACAGATCAACTTATAAGACACATCTTGATTTCTGAGATTTTAAAAGTGAAAAAAATATATATGGAATTGAGAAAACACAGTATTTTTAGGAAATATGTCAACTAAATCTATGTTAAATGCTCCAAAAAGACTGCCTTTATTACCAGTATGTCTTTTCTATTTCTCTGACAGATTCACTGATAAGGAAATAATTTGTTTTCTACCTTATCTGGGGTCAAAAAACCTTTATATAAAGGCAAATAACTGTTAAATATAATAGTAACTAACACCTCTACGCTAGCTTTATAGTTTGAAGAAGTTGTATTGGCAGATGAACAGGCATATAAACAAAGCACAGCAATAAATGAAAAGGAAGACAAACACAAAAGAGTAAGAACACTTATGTGTAAAGGAAGGATCAGTGCTCCCTTTAGCAGCACACATACCAATACTGAAACAATACAGAGTTTAGCATGGTCCTATGCAAATATGACCCCCAAATTTATGAAGTGTCATTTTCTGGACCTGTCAGCTAAAGTGGTGTTGGTAATCATTTTGCAAAACATAAATAAATCACATCAGTAAGTTGTGTATCTTAAAACTTACACAATGTATATGTCTATTATATCTCAACAAAGGTGAGGGGATGCTCATTTCACTGAAATAATATATACTCTAACTAGGAAATCACACAGCATAATCTCAAAGAGATCACACACTCCTCCAGTCAAACTTCATCATCTAAATGGTAATTAAATAAAACATGACCTATAAATTTGTTAGCTAAAGTGACTAAAATCCAACATTTTGAAATATATGACAAATATTTAATACAATGGACACATTTACACTACTATTAGAGCACATAGCTATTATAAAAGAGTTGAAAGTATTTCTAGAACAATGTTTGTTAAATATTTGAACATATTTAGTCCAATACAAATTTAAATAAAGTATTTTAAGTAGCTCATTGGAATATCACTTTCTTCATTAGTGAACATGTCTACATACATTTATTATAATAAGCATGGAAATATCACAACTTAGAACAACTCTAACACCTGCTATTTCAAATAATCGAACACTCTTTCTTTTTTTTTTTTTTTTCGAACACTCTTTCTTAACAGGAATCACATGATCATGGTATACTATCCAAACAGTATAAAAAGTTAACTTTCCTCTGCAACTCACTCATCCTGTATGCTTTCCCCTATGAACCCTCACAATCATCTTGGGTATTCTTTCAGAGACACCACCTACATATTCAAGCATGTAGGTACATACAAGCATATGAGTACTTATCTACTGCATATTTTTCTTTCTAATACTATATTCACTCTTCTACATCTTCCTTTTTTACCTTAACAATTATGTTCTCTACTATCATTAACAAATAACTTCATTCATGTTTCATACACGTTTTAAAAATATTCATGGAGCAGAGGTGACCTGCCAATCTAGACTTTAATTAAACTTCGTATTGCAACAATCATACACATAAGAGGACACAAATCATGAGTATACACAGCTCAATAAAATATCAAATAGACCGTATCTGTGAAAGCGCTATCTAGATAAAAAACAGAGCATTACCAACACTCCAAAAGCCACACACGTTTTCTCCCAGTTATATAAATGGAATGTACTACTCTGGTCTGGATTCTTCCAATAAACATAATTTTTATGATGTCCATTCAAGTTTTGGATGCACCAGTAGCTTGTTCATTCTTTTTGCCAGAGTATTCCAACAAATAAAATATACCACAACACATTATACTGCTGCTCAACATTTAGATCATTTCCAGCCTTGGGTAATTACATATAGTGTGCATTGAACTTTCCCATACCTATCTTTTGATGCACATATATACAAATTTTCTCAGATACGTGACTAGTAAAATTACTAAGTCAAAGAACAGGAATATGCTCAGCTTTAGCAGACAAATGAAGATTTTAAAAACCATTCTACCAACTTACATTCCCATCACTTATTTATAAGAGTTCAAGCTTTTCTACATTGTTCCAACACTTGGAATTACCTCATTGTATCCAATACGGTAGCACATGGCAGTATCTCACAGTGATTTTAAATTGCATTAAAGGTTCTTAATCCAAACCTAATCCACTTCATAGATCAGAGGATGGCTTTCAAGGAAACTGGCTTAGGGAAACTTAAAGATGTCTAACAACTGGTCATATGAAGTGTAGAATGGAAACTTGGCACAAACATAGGCAGGCCACAATATTTCAGGCAAAAGTGACAGCACAGAAACACAGTAGCCTTCAAAGACAAAATAAGAGAAAGTATGCCAAGTTATAGGATCTATCATTACTACTGAGATAGAAGCACAGGAAAATGGAGGGGGGAGCAGCCACAGTCAGAAACAGTAGTCCTCTCAGAAAGGGCCTTTATCCTGAGCATGAAAAGAAACTGCTGCAGGGGAGCAAGTTAGATCTGTGCATTTTAGAAAGAGATACACACACATCTATACTAGGGAGAAAGTATTCAAGACAAAAATTAAAGGTCGGTAAGAGAGTTACTGACTTCCCTGGTGGCTCAGATGGTAAAGCGTCTGCCCACAATGCAGGAGACCTGGGTTTGATCCCTGGGTCGGGAAGATCCCCTGGAGAAGGAAATGGCAACCACTCCAGTCATCTTGCCTGGAAAATCCCATGGACGGTGGAGCCTGGTAGGTTAAAGCCCATGAGGTCGCCAAAGAGTCAGACACAACTGAGCAACTTCACTTCAAGAGTTACTAGGTAAGAGATGGCTGTGTCTGAGCAACTGAAGTAGAAAAAAGAAAAGAAAACTGGGCAGATATTGAGAAGAGTGAATTCATAGGACTTGCAACTTGATAAAAGGTTGTGGAAGAATTTATGGTTGATGTACACATTCATCTCTCTTTTGTTATAAAACACTATTAAAATGCCTATAAATAAATACAAAATGGAATTTCAGACACTGAAGAGAGGTTATCACTGGCTGAGAATAATTTTATCAGATTCCTGGAACACAGAAATTGCATGGACTGAAGACACAGTGAACACATAGCAAAGAGCATTTGCATTGGTAGCAGCTCTAGGAGTCAAATTAGAAACTGGCAGGTACACAGAAGGAGGTGAAATGGAATGTGAAAATAAAAGGATTAACAGAAAGCTTGGCTAACAAACAGCTAAACTCTTCTTCCTCCTCCTCATCAACCAACTTAATAAAAACAAAAGCAACAACTAAACACCCCCTTAAAAGAACAGAAACTCTAAAGGGGGTTTTAAAGGCCAAAGTAAAAACCTCTTTGGCATCTGGGGGGATCCCAGGTTCAGTATCCAACTCATTACTTTACTCTAGAGGAAAGCATGTAAAGTCCAATAAAACCTAACTGTCCATTCTGAAATATAAAACGGGCAATGAGAGCGGGTGGGATGAAGAAAGAGAGCAAGATAAACATACAGCTAATACTAAGGAAAGTAAAAGATAGCAGAGTGTTTAAAAATACTATTAATTAGTATCCATAAACAATGACCAATTTTAATACAAAAAGGCTATCAAAGAAGAACTTTTGAAAGTCAAAAATATGGCTGTAACCTTTTTTTCAACAGAAGGAACGATGCACTGATTATTCCCGATGTCAAAAATAACCAAAACTGTAATAAGTGTTTTACTCTTTAATCTCTGAGGTTTGTTACTCAAATGTCACCTGTCAATCAGGCTTCCACTGGTTATCCTATTTGAAATTACAGCCCCCACCCCCACACCCCACCACAGATATCTACAGATGCCTTATCTTTATCCTTCCCACATCCTTTCCATTTGAATCTTTTAAAATGAGAATGCATTCACTAATTACTTTACTGAAAATATTAACATGTTAAACCCAACTGGGATATTAAATGCCACTTTAAGTAAAAGGAATAGAGAATAGGTATTTTCTTTTGATAAATTGTAAGAAGTACAACTTCTGGTTCAAAAGTAATCAAAATTACCAAACTTAAAAAAAAAAAAACTGAAATCTTAGCCTTATCTTTTAGGCAAAAAGTTTTACAAGCTTACTGTTCATATACTATCAAAATGATCTTCAGTTATCTTTTACAAAGGTTAAAATTTGTGAGGATTATTTTCCATTTGCTAAGTCAAGAGCCAGACATAGCTTTTTATTTTACTAAAACAGATATAATTAGCTAAAAGCTACATTAAAAGAGCTAAAGTTTCTATATGACTGTTTACTGCAATCCTATGTGTTTATATCTAAAACCACTCTTCTATGATACTTTTCTAAAGAAACATTAATTTTAAATAACTAGAAACTTCTACCTTAAAAGATCAACATATTCATATAGTCTCAATTCTTATATTTCCCTCCAGGAAAATCATTAATTCATCTTTAATAGGAATTTATCCATAAGAAATTAAAACCTATAAAAAGTCAAGTAACCAAAGGGACTGAATTTCATACATTAAATCTAATCAAAGTTGTATAACAGTTTATAGTTAAGTCCCACCTCAGACAGTTTCTATATAAAAGTTTTAATTTGTACAAAGAAAAAGAACTTTGACTAGAACCTTAAAAAAACTGGAAAGATACTATTTAATTTATCCAGTGCTAATTTAAAATATGAAAACAACAGACTGTGCATATGTTCTGTAAAGTAACATAACATTTAATACTTAGGGACATACTGCAAGAAAATATAACAACAAAAAATTTAAAAGATCATACAGAAATCTCCTCAGTGGTTAAAAATATTTTTTCTCCTAATATGAGTCTTAATATGCTCTAGGACATTTCAGTTATGAACCTACACATACTCACTTGGTTTAATGTATTATCTGTTTTTAGTTCTTTGTGATTGGAGTACTGGATATAAATCGGTTGGTTACGAAGGTGAGGTGTCACAGCAGAATAGTAATTAACCATGGTAATAGCTGCTTCCTCTGTTGCTAGTTCCAAAAATGCCTGAAAATTGCAAATAGCAAAAATTATAATACTATGAATTAAATTCAAATAAACTTCAATATCTGTGTGATCTATTTGGTTCATTAAAAAAATCACTACCGAGAATTGCCCTAATAAGTAGAATCAGAAATCCTTACTGAAGCTTAGAGATACAATTAAAGCTAACCTCAGTAGACAGCTCTTAGCATACACAGCATTTCTGCCTTCCACCTCTGATTTCCATACATTACAAATGTAACTTCTCCAACAAAGGCTAGAGAAAATAAAATCCAAACATTTTCTAAAATCAGAATTTTACCATGCCTAACCTAGAAAATATGAGATCTCCAAGTCATTTTTAAAGCATTTATAATCTAGTAGAAGAAAAAAATTAAATGTCATCTTATTAGCGATATTAACTATATTTGAGAGCATTAAATTTCTCTATAAATTCTTCTAAATGGTATCATTAGGAACTTTAAAACAAAATTTGATTTTTAATACACCTGGACCCTACTGCTACAGATATATCTATTCAGTATAGATTATCTGGGACTAATAACTATTTTTTTCTAATGCTATCAGATAAATATTCCCCTGGGATAAGCTTAAAGCTAAGATGATACTAATGTCCCTACTGATTTCTGATATTACAAAGAGTAAAGCCACAATAAAAAAAGTTACTACATCTGTATCTCCCACAATCTCCTTGAATAATAGTTCCACTACAGTTCTAAAGTGAATTTACAAAGCAAAATTTTAAAACTACAGTGACTTACTCATTTTAATTCCCTAGCATTAATTTCTTATACACAGCTACTAGGAAAAGTCAGAGCAGAACTTCTGTCATGTTCCTTAAGAAAAGTAACCTACTATGTATAATTATATAAACTATCATTTCATCAGGTGACAGCTAATTCACACTTACAGGACAGTTTGGAGCTTAACATTTTCTAAGTCCAGAAATAAGTATACCTGATTTTTTCCTTTCAGCATAAGGATGTTGGTCACCTTACCAAAAGGTAAGCCTAAAGCAATAACTTCAGTTTCTGTCACTTCACCAGGCAATTTTCGAATATGAAGTACACGAGAAGGAGCACCATCCATTTTATCTTCTCCTTTGAATTTTTTACTATCATTACCATTGGCTGAAAGAAAGTAAAGAAACAGTTATTATGTTTATCTTATGTGCATAAATAAAAGTCACAAAACAAACTTCAATAGAGAACTTAAAAAAAACATAGCTGAGCATACTTGTGATACTTCCTAAAAATTTGAAAACATGGTTTTCAGAGTAATGGAAAGAACTCATATCCACCAATTACTACTAAATGAACTCATCAGTTAAGATTATTATTGGGTAGAGATATTTCTGGATAGCATATGTGGAGTAACAAGTGACGATCAAAAACATTAAAATGAAATTTCATAAAGAAATGGTCAATGGCTACACAAAACAATTATCTTACAATTCAATCATCTTAACAGAATAAGGAAAATACAAAAACAGTGAAAATTTTGACTTAGAAAAAATCAGGGATACTATATTTTACCTGAAAAATTCTAAACTGCTCAAATTGAAAAATGTACTAAAAAATGGAATCAGACAATGCTTCAAAAATTATTATGTAGTCAATCCACAGTATGGCTTATATTCCTCTACCTAAATATTTTATCACTATCAACATCTACCTACTATATTATCACTCATGGACTTGATTATCTTTTCTGTTACTCTGAGCTTTAGAGTGATATTTTGAACAACAAATTAATTGCCTGCCTTTATTCCAAAACTTTACCAAAACACAAAAAACAAACAAAACTTATGAAAGATACAATAAACAGAACATTACCTAAGACTCAAGGATAGTTCTAAGAACCTATTAAAATGAAAAACTCTTATACACAGAGAAAGATACATGTATACTCCATTTCTGTATACAAATTTTGTACTTCACAGTACATACCCCCAAACATTCAATACAATAAAACTCTAAGACCATCTTGATCTTCTAAAAGTGTCCTTAAAATTTATTCAAACATCAACTCTTTTAACAGTTACTGAATATCAAGAAAATATCTGGCATTTCAGGTTCTGGAGTACATCAGTGAACAGCAAGCAGTAAAAGCCCTGATGCTCTCTTGTTGTCTAGTGAGACAGATGGCCCACCTAGTACATGAACCAGACAACTTCTAGAGTGGTAGTGCTACGGAGAAAGCAAAGCACAGTACTGTGATTAAAAGTAATGTAACAGAGGATTCGAAGAGGGTGATATTGTAGTGATTTAACTGGATGATCAGAGAGATGTGAACTCATCTGATTTATCATACAACTTGAAGTGTCAATTAAGTCACAGTTTAAGAGTTACATTGAAGTTTATATAGCCAATGCATTATACAGCCAGTGCAATGTTGTTCAATGCAATAAAGATTCTGTAGGTTACTTTGAACAGAAAACTAGTTAAGTTCTACTTACTACTATATATTACCAGAAAAATCTTGCTGGCTAGCTTTTCATCACTCCAGAAATAAGAAAAACTACAAAAAGCTCTCCATACCTCCTTTCATAAGTAAGGAAGACTTGTTCCTGCACAAGCACCTGAAATTATCAGGAACCAGGCTGAATTTCTTATTTTGTAGCATCTCATTTTAACAATATCATTGGGTCTGTTTAACTGATAATGTAAGTTAAATCATGGAATCAAAAAATATACATACACCATAAAACATACAACTGACATAACAAATCCATCTTCTTCTAAGGCCTTTTCTTGCAAAGCAGTCTGAGAGACTGAATTCTTCTACATTCATTTGAATAACAAGAATGAATACTTCATAGGCCAACCTACAGTCACATGAGTTATACATTATAATGTGAGGAAATTCAAACAGAAACTTTATATTTCTCCTAATTTAGCCTTTTTTCCTTCAGGGAAAAAGCAAAGGAAAAAAATCACAATAAAAATACTATCCATCACTACACATAGAGGGAGAGAAAAACTCTACCTTCATCAAACAATTCTTAGAATACAATTTCTAAAAGGCAAAAGCCTGCCTAAACCTATTATTAAAAGAATAGAAGAGTTAACTGTTTGATTTTGTGTTGCATGATTTCTAGACAGTAGAGGGTAAGTAAAACAACTGAATAATAAAGTTTAGTAGATGGGACAGCTTTCACAAAGACGACGACAAATAACTTGGGTTTGTTTTTTTTTTTAAAAGATTTATAGAAAATTTGCATTTATATTTAACATTCACTGAAAGTAACCTACACGCCAGGCACTTCATAATTCTAGGATTGTTTTTATGGCTTATCAATCCCATTTATAGACCAGAACTTCTAAAGTTGCTCAAGGTCAGGAAGTTACTACAGTGGTAAAGACAGGAAATGGCAGAAAAAGAATTAAAACTCAAGAGTCTGAAGTCTGTGCTTTCAACCCACTATACCACTGGAAGACTCTAAAGACAAACTTCATGTAACATATAATGGCTAAAGAATATTTGTTCTTTTCTTCCAAATGCCATGTAACTAACAATATTTAGACTCTCTGCATTACCTGAAAGTCCTCTCAGTTAACAGCTTCAGAAAGGGTGACTTTCACATATTCATATTTTAGTGCAAAATATCATGAAAGTCTTAATTACTATGAAAATGCAAAACTGAGAAATGAAAATTTCTTTAAAATTAACTAAGCTGATTTTCATATATAAAAGTACACCAACCCTGGAAAAAGAAAAGGGCACAACTGAGTGGTCCTCAGTTTAATTTGGACTTCTTTCCACAATCCTTTTCCTTGCATTTCCCAGATAAATCCCAAAACTTTTGGTTTGGGTATATAAAAACAGTAATAATTAAAACAAATTTTAAGAATTTATGCAAAACAGATATGGATAAGCTGCATATAAATTGTAGAAATCTTTAATTATACTAGTTCCCATATATGCCATTTTAAAAAGCAAAAGCTTAGTGAGGATGTTGTTCTACTCATAAATTCAAAACAAGACATAGACACTGTTTCTAACTGAACATTCGAACATAAATTTCAAAGTTTTCTACCTCAGTTCTAGTGAACATCTTCACTTTTGATCAGTCCCAGTCTCATCTCTTTTTCTCTTTGACTGATCTTTGTTTTCTCAGTTCAGTTCACTCAGTTGTGTCCGACTCTGCGACACCACGGACTGCAGCATGCTAGGCCTTCCTTTCCATCACCAACTCCCAGAGTTTACTCAAACTCAAGTCCATTGAGTTGGTGATGCCATCCAACCACCTCATCTTCTGTCATCCCCTTCTTGTCCCACCTTCGATCTTTCCCAGCACCAGGGTCTTTTCCAATGAGTCAGTTCTTCCCATCACGTGGCCAAAGTATTGGAGTTTCAGCCTAACATCAGTCCTTCCAATGAATATTCAGGACTGATTTCCTTCAGGATGGACTGGTTGGATCTCCTCGTAGTCCAAAGGACTCTCAAGAGTCTTCTCCAACACCACAGTTCAAAAGCATCAATTCTTTGGCGCTCAGCTTTCTTTATGGTCCAACTCTCACATCCATACATGACTAATGGAAAAACCGAATCTTTGACTAGACAGACCTTTGCTGGCAAAGTTATATCTCTGCTTTTTAATATGCTGTCTAGGTTGGTCGTAACTTTTCTTCCAAGGAGCCAGCATCTTTTAATTTTATGGCTGCAGTCACCATCTGCAGTGATTTTGGAGCCCAGAAAAATAAAGTCAGCCGCTGTTTCCACTGTTTCCCCATTTATTTGCCATGAAGTGATGGGACCATATGACATGGTCTTAGTTTTCTGCATGTTGAGCTTTAAGCCAACTTTTTCACTCTCCTCTTTTACTTTCATCAAGAGGCTCTTTAGTTCTTCTTCATTTTCTGCCATAAGGGTAGTGTCATCTGCATATCTGAGGCTTTTGATATCTCTCCCAGCAATCTTGATTCCAGCTTGTGCTTCATCCAGCTCAGCATTTCTCATGATGTACTCTGCATATAAATTAAATAAGCAGGATGACAATATACAGCCTTGAAGTACTCCTTTTCCTATTTGGAACCAGTCTGTTGTTCCATGTCCAGTTCTACCTGTTGCTTCTTGACCTGCATAATGATTTCTCAAAAGGCAGGTTCTGGTATTCCCAACTCTTTCAGAATATTCCACAGTTTATTTTCTAGTGGCTTTTATACTTGTAGTTTTAACACAAAAAAGGTCTCACCAAGATTCAGGGTTATTTGTTAAATCCACATGTGGTCAAAGAGCCATGGGTCCTCTCATCTTACCAAATCTCTTTTCTCACAGCACCCATAATACTCATTTCCAGTTTCCTTAATTCCTGATTCATTTAATACCTGTTTGGACCCCTCTGCTACTTCCCCAGTGGTGCAGTGGTAAAGAATCTGCCTGACAATACAGGAGGAGTAAGAGACTCGGTTTGACCCCAGGGTCAGGATGATCCCCTGATGTAGGAAATGGCAAGCCTTTGCAGTATTCTTGCCTGGAAAATTCCATGGATAGAGAAGCCTGGCGGGCTGCAGTCCGTGGGGTCAGAGAAGTTGGACATGACACGACAAGCGGGCATGCACACGTGGGTGTAGACATACTCACACACTGACCCCTCTGCTAACTCATTTACTTCTCAAAATGGTTACAGTGATAACCCCCCCCGCCCCCTCCCCCCCACACCTCCACCTGCTAAGTCATTTATGTCTCAAAATGGTCAGAGTGCCCCAAGGTGTTCTGGTCTCCAAGTCCTTCCTATCCTTACTTGCTCATATAAACACTCCAGTAAAAGTTTTTCTATATACCCATTATTTTAATCTCACTCATTGACCAATATTATAATTGTGTACTTCCAATTGTATATACCAACTTGAAGTGCAACATCTCAAAACATACTTCATCTGTTCAGTGAAAATTATTTAACAAAACCTAAGTATACCCTCATTTTCATTTTCCAAGTCTTTCAGATTCAAGCACTTATAAAAAAGCACTAGTAACTTCCTTTATCAAATACGGTAACTGAAAGGCAATGCAGTTTTAATCCTAAAAAGTTTGAAATTTATTTTCCCAAGTAGTTTTATTTTTTTAATTAATTTTTATTGAAGGATAATCGCTTCACAGAATTTTGTTGTTTCCTGTCAAACCTCAG